GTGTTCCACAGTTCAGCCTACAACCCAACCTGTGTTCAAAGACTACCCCACCCTTCCAAGTGTCTTAAGCTTCAAAAGTAAAGACTGACCACCCTCTCAGTGTCATTTCTGAAGAGTATAACCTTGAAACCAAAACAGAACTAGCCTGAAATCCCAGATTCTCCACTATCAGCTAGATTGCTTTTGAGTAAGTGATATACCACAGTGTAAAAGTATGGACTCGATATAAGGTTGAATCTTGGCTCCTAGCTCTGTGACCTTAAGCAAACATCTCAGTTGCTCTATCTTAACTACAAAATGGAGAGCACAAGATAATTTACCTCATGTTAAGAAAATTAAGTTAATAATCTTGTGCTCTATTGTTTGCCTCTCTGAGACTTGGCTTCATAATCTGTGAAAGGATGACATCTACCTTGAAGGATGGTGATGAGTATTACACATAACATATAAAGTACCTAGCACAATGTACTTTACAAGCAAAATGCAAGAACTGTTAGCTTCCTTTTCTGTCTTTCAATTTATCAGTTTTCATCATTCGGCTAAGAGGAAGAAAATTGCTGAAACAAATTAATGTGTCTTTTAACTCACACGGTTATGTGTATTAGAAAAAGAGACTGTTTTTACAAAGTCAAGGCAGAGAATTCAGTTAATAATAATTGAAAGAGTCTACTCTATGAGGACCAAGCGAGTTTCTGTAGAAGGTAGAAAATAGAAAGCAACATCATCATTGCTATACAGTGATAGGAGAATCCAACTACCAAGAACTCTGATTTTGTACCCAGGATGGCAGAACTCTTAGGATTAATGATTTCAGTCAAATACCCAAGTATAGAGAAATAAAAGAGGTATGCCACAGATCAAGAGTGATTTTTTATAGACTAGAAATGATGGCTGGTCACCTGTTTCTTCTTAGCCACCTGAACATTGTCGGTTATCTGCCATGGAGATGGTTTGACCACAGTCACTTTTTTTCTCAGTCTTCTTTCCAGGCTTTCTGTTTTCATTCACCCCAGGAACATTCTCTCTGGATTTTGATCTTAGTCTTTAAGGGCTCCAACTATCATATAGATGCATCCAATTCTCTGACTCCAATTTTGACTTTTGTTCTAAGCTGCAGATTCACACACATGTGCCACTACCTACTGGCCACTGCTACCTAGATGTCTCACAGACAGCTCTAACTCAATATGACATTATCTAAATCTTTCACTTGCTCCCCAAACCTGCTCCTCCTCTGCTATTTCATACCTTGGTTAATATCACTGACATCCTTCCAACCAGGAAAAAAAAAAAGAAATCTGGAAATCATTGAAAATACAGAGATAAGTATGGCATAATTTTGCCCTCAAGAAATAGTCAATTTCATAAAGTCGATGCATGTAAACTTCTCCCTGTTTTTAAAACAAACAATAAATTTTCTTTGGAACTTATAATTCTGCTTTTCAATAAGAATGTAAATTATTCTTATTTATAAACTTGTCAATTAAATTGTGGATCCTTTGGTAAGAAAATAAGATTAATTTTTTTCAGACTATTGAGTATTCAAAATATAAAAAAGTAAATAGAACTAGAGATAAGAGACCTTGATAACTAGATGAACACATTTTAAAAAGTTGAAGATATACTTATTGATGTAAAGTCTTTATATATAAAAGCCTGAACGACCGAATGACCAGTTGACCAGTTGCTATGACATGCACTGACCACCAGGGGGCAGACGCTCAATGCAGGTGCTCCCCCCTGGTGGTCAGTGCACTTCCACAGCCAACCTCCTGCAGCTGGCCAACCTCCCGTGGCCGCTGACCAACCTCCCGTAGTCCCTCCCCTCAGCTGGCCAACATTCCGAGGTCTCTTTCCCCAGCTGGCTGGCCTCCCCCATTGGCCCCAATGGGGGGGGGGGTTGTGGCTGGCCAACCTCCCACGTTCCTCCTCCCAGCCGGCCAGCCAACCTCCCTCAGCCCCTTCCCCCAGCTTGGCTGGTCCCATCCCATCGGCCCCAATCATCAGCCAGGCTGAGGGACCCCACCTATGCACAAATTCATGCCCTGGGCCTCTAGTTGTTAATATTACTCTTTAAATTATTTTTTATGCTTTTTACAATGAAAAATGACAATCATGGAAAAAATACACAATGATCCTCTGTACCCAAACCTAGTCTCAAAAGTAGCAATTTAGACTATGTCTTACTTCATCTACACCCACTCACTGCAGCCCAAGATATTTTAAAGCAAATCACAGAAATTGCATAATTTCACTTGTAAGTATTTCTATGTATCTCTAAATGACAAGACTCCTTCTGCAAGCATAACTATAGTGCTGTTATCACAGTTTAAAACAGTAATAATAATTCATTGATATCATTAATATTCTGTTCAGATTGTCCTGATTTTCTCATAACTTGTTTTATAGTTTATTTGAACAAAGCATGATCTAAGATTCTTACACTGCAATTGATCTTAAATCTCTCTTGCTCATTTTCTTTGTTTCCTTCTTTCTCTCCCTCTCTTTTTCTTAGCTGTTTTATTATAAAATACAATACACAAAAACTTGAAACTTATGAGTTAATGAATTATTATAAAGCAAACACCACTCAGGTTCAGGAGTAGAATGTTGCCAGTTACTTTCCAAATGTCCTATGTCAATCCCAGCTCTTTTGCAACCTGCTGAAGTAGCCACTACCTATATATTTTTATAGTAAAATCACTTCCTTGTTTTCTTTTTTAATTGTATCATATATAGTACATCCTTAGACACTGTAGTTACATCCATTTTCAACTTTGTCTTATATGTTTCTTTTTAATCAATATGTTCCCACAATATGCTTTTGTTTTTTCTTGCAGAATTTCTGTTGAATAACCCAAGGCATTTGGCATATAGTTTTCCACAGTCCGGATTTTGCTGACTACAAACTCGTGGTACAGATCAATATATTCTTCTGTTCTCTATATTTCCAGCAAAATGGCAGCAGTATCCAAAATCCACTTGGCACAATTATAATTAATACTGTTCTTTCATCAGAAGGAATATGCCTGGTTACCTCTCTTGTGATGGTAGCTGTCATTGATGCTTAATGCTTAGATTTATTGTCATTGTGGTTTCAAACGGATTATATAATTTTATAAAAACATACTTCTATGCACCATTTCATAACTAAATGTACATTTTTTACGGGAAAGGCAGAATAAATACTTGATTTTTCCCCTTTATTTACTAGTCTACTTTATATGATTTTGGTATATACATATTATCCTTCTTATTTTTATTCAGCATTTAAGTTTGATTTAATATTTTTCTCCCACTTTCTGTTAATCTGAAGGCATTATCTAGTGTATTCATTTGGTATTATGTTCCTCTTAGTTTAGCTTTATTTCTAAAATGACTTTCTTCTAAGTTGTTACTGAGTTTTATAACTTCTGGACTTTTATAATTCAAATTTATTTGTTATTCTTCTCATCTTGTAGCATTTCTCAATTTTTTGGCTCATTTTTTAAATAGTGGGTTACAATATGTCCTTCTGGTATGCTTTTTTTTTCCAGAATGTTATTCTGCTTCTTATCCTCCTTTTTCTTATAATTTTGAATGGGAGCTTTTCCTTATTGTTCATTTTCATGGGAAACTAGTTTGTTTTTCCTGAGTTTTACAATCTGGCAGGATTTTCTAACTTCAGAGAGATTCCTCTTCAAAAGTATGGTCTTGAGATTTCCTGACTGTTCTGCTCCCATTCTTCTCTTCCCTTCCTCTCTACAGGATGGGCAAAAGTAGGTGTACAATTGTTTATATGAAAAATAATACAATATTTAAGAAATAAGAATACAAGAATAAACTCTATGTTCCCATACTCAAAACTGTACACTTACTTTTGCCCCTGCATTATCCTGATGTTGTCTACTTATGATTCACTTCCAGCCATTTCTCCTCACTGTGAGTAGTTGTTTTGCAGAGTTCCAAGGCACTAAAACAATTCCAAACCCTTCAGAATTTCCTACTATAGGCATCTTGGACCCACCCTTCCCAATTTCAGCTGATGTTCCTAAGTTGGCTCACCATGCTTTCCAGTGAGTATCCATGGGCTTTTGACCCCTCAAGTCTGCCCCGTACCACACTACTTCCACCTACTCCTTTTCCCTATAGACACTAATTTTACATAAGATTGTGGCTTGACTCACTTGTTTTATTGAAAGTGATTCTTATGGATAACTTAATATTGAGTTTTGTTTTAAATGTTGTTCAGGAATTTGGCTTTGGCTTATGTGGATATTTGAAGAGGTTAAAAAATTAGGCAGCTAGCTCAGCTGGCATGGCTCAGTGATTGAGCATCAACCTATGAACCAGGAGTGCACGGTTCAAATCCCAGTCAGGGCACATGCCCATGTTGCAGGCTCAAACCCTAGTAGGGGTGTGCAGGAGGCAGTGAATCAATGATTTCCTCTCATCATTGATGTTTCTATCTCTCTCCCTTTCCCTTCCTCTCTGAAATCAATAAAAATGTATTTTTTAAAAAACAACAACTATGTAGCTATTGTCACACAAGCCACCTTCTAACACTATAATTTTTTATTAAACACTTCCCAAATCCCTGAGATGTGAAAGAGACCACAGGTGGACTGTGTCTATAAATGAGGGCAAACATGAAATACATATAAGTAACAAAATACTGACTAGTTTAGGAGTTGAAATTCACCAGATGAATTAGCAGCTCCCAACCTCACTGAGCAGAGTAGAAGTCGGCAACATTTCTCAAATTGTATTTCAGAGGAAGTTAATAGGACCAAGCTAGTTATAGTAGTCCAGTGAATATAATTTAAGGAATGCTGGGTTGAGGCAACGTGTCCTCCAGCACTTCCTTTAAAATGTCATAAAGTGAGGAAGCAGTTAAAAAATTGTATAAAGTCACTAAAGAATATATTGAAAATCTGATTAGAAAATTTTCAGTTTCTACATTAACTCAACAAATAATTGTTGCCATTTAGAGAGGGTAAAGTGACCTCCAGTTTGCTTACCATATACCAAGTGATGGCTGGTTTGACACTGGAAGGAAAGTATCCATCTATATCTGGACAAGTGATCTTCTGAACACCATATTCTATATATAGTTTATGCACTGGGATTTTCATGGGAGAATTGAAGCAGCTAGCTTTTTGGACAACTTCCAGAGGAAATGCAACTTTGCTGCAATATGTGGTATTCCTGAAAAGAGAAATATGCAATAAATGGGCAGACTCATTTGCATTTGTTTTAATGCAGTAAATACATTAAAGTAAGCTAAGTGAACTAATGCTATGTATTGAGACTTTATATGTGCAAGTTCATGTAAGAATTAAATATGTGTGGAAGTATTTCTATATAAATTAACATCATAGAACAAAAACAGACACAGTTAATTACTATTGATATATTAAAATAGTTATATTTTAGATATGTTTCTAAACATGCTATGTGTTTGTATGTACATATATGTATGTATGTATATGTATATTTAACTTTACCCTTAAAACATTATTAATAATATTCTGTGCTGGTAAGGCAAAGGTGAGTATACCATTAACTCATGGCTGATAATCATATAAACAACCTTTAGAAAATAAATATGGTTCTAAAACTATTCTTAAAAAAGCCTTAGTTTTTGCCTTAGTAATGTTATTTCTGGAACATTTTTCACATGGTAGAATTATGGAAAATGGTTATAGAGAGAGCACATGATCAAAAATGTCCATCCAGTGCTATATCAACAAAGAAAACATTGGTATATATAGAAAAATCTTCTTTTTTTGAAAAGTGCAATGAAATTATGGTACAACCATTCAAAGTTCTTTTACATATCTATAAAAAAAGTCAAGCATGAAGAAAAAAGTAACAAACACATAAAACTTAGGACTCTTGTTATCCCATCACCTCACTTTTCACAAAGAGGTATTATATGTGACCCTCTATGCACCGCAAATTAGATCTCTAATTCTCTGAGCACATTGGACATTTCCTTGTGTTCATTTGCTATTAAGTTCCTCTTAGTTTATCATAGTTCAAACAAGGGTACCACCATGAATATTTTCTTATAGTCTCTAGTACAGTGTCTAAACTTTCAGTAGATGCTGAATACATATTTATTAAAATGAATGAGAAAGAGCCCTAGCCATTTTGGCTCAATGTTTAGAGCATCAGCCTGTGGACTGAAGGGTCCCAGGTTCCATTCAGGTCAAGAGCCCAGGTTGCAGGCTCTATCTGCAGTAGGGGGAGTGCAGGAGGCAGCTGATCAATGATTCTCTCTCATCATTGATGTTTCTATCTCTCTTTCCCTCTCTCTCCTTTCCTCTCTGAAATCAATAAAAAATATATTTTAAAAAATTAATGAGATAGATATAAAACTTGTGTGTGTATTAAAGAAAGCAATAGTGAAGCATTCATAATAAAAATAACTGATTTTTTAAGGTGATGACTAAATGGGCCCACACTCTTAATAATTTCTATTTAAGGTTTCAAACACATATTAGATCCTCAATGACTCATGAATTAAATCTAAATACAATGGAAGGTGTGGAGGTATTCATTCCGCTCACCAACATGAAAGGAGATATTGTTTAAAGATAACTTGTAACAAAGGTAATATGGTGGAAAGGGAGAGTGGCAGGCATGATCTCTATCAAAAAATAACAAAATGTCTACCAGATAAAAGTATTCTATGGGTAGAAGTTATAAAAGGTAAATTTTAGTTTAATTAGATACATTTTCTGATTTTTTAAAAAAGGTGATGAACAGTGATTGGGCTGACTTTTATAGCTCCAAAAGTCAAAGCTGGATGTCATCTTAATAAGGTATTAAAGAAAGAATAGGAGACAGAAAATGGCGGCTGACAGGACACAGGCTGCAAGATAGTGTGTGAGTGAGAGAATGAAAGGAGAGCACGTGGACATGCAGGGAGTGTCTGTATTTTTGAGTGAGGGACATCTATATTCCACAGGACTTTTGGAGACTGACTGGCCTCCCCTGGCCAGGCAGCCTCTACTACTGCTGAAATCTCTCTCGGAGTGGCTGGGTCTGCTGCAGAGACTGCACCATTTTGAAGGTGAGAGCAACTGTTATCAGAAGCCCACCTTTACCTTCAACTGAGGAGACCTCAGATACCTCCTGGGACCCTACAACCACAATGCCCAGGGACCAGCTGCCTCAGCTGCAAACCCACTAACACCGAGACTCCAGCCTCCCTGGACGCAGGTGCCTAATAAGTTTGTCCAGGGGGAGACAAAGTGGGCCCTGTGCCTTCTCACAGAGGAGATAGAAGGAACAGCTGACTTGAATAACATCCACCTGGAATTGGCAAATTAAACACAGCTGGTGAGGCAATCTGTGGACAGAAAGGTCAAAGATTGCCAAGAAAGAGTCAATGCAGGAGAGCGAGAGCTACATACCAGACACCCAGAAAGGAACGAACATGGGGAGACATAGAAACAGCCCCCATAGGAAGGAAAAGCAGGAATCACAGGAAAAGGAAGTAAATGAAATGGAGGCAAGCAATATGTCAGAAAAAGAATTCAGCGCAATTCTCATAAGGACATTGAAAAGGATGGAAGACAAATTCAATAATATGTGTAAGAACCAAGAAGAAATGAAGAACCAAGAAGAAATGAAAAATGACATCACTGCAATAAAGAACACAATATAAAGCATCAACAGTACACTACAAGAAGCGAAGGACCACATCATGAGCTAGAAGACAAGGTAGGAAAAAACACCCAAGCTGAGCAGCAACTGGAAAAAAAAATCTTAAAAAACAGGAGGAGAGCCTAAGGGAACTGTGGGACAACATGAAACAAAACAACATATGCATAATATGGGTCCCAGAAGGAGAGGAAACTGAGCAAGGAATAGAAAACCTATTTGAAGAAATAATGACAGAAAACTTCCCTGATATTGGGAAGAAGAAAACACTCACATAGTCCAAGAAGCTCACAGAGTCTCAAACAAGATGAACCTAAAAAGACCGATACCAAGACACATTATAATTAAATTAGCAAACACCAATGACAAAGTAAGAATCTTAAAGGCTGCCAGAAAGAGACATAAAGTTACTTACAAGGGATCGCCTAACAGACTACCAACAGAATTCTCAACAGAAACACAGCAGGCCAGAAGGGAATGGAATGAAATACACAAAGTCATGCAAAGGAAGGGTCTGAATCCAAGAATACTGTACCCAGCAAGGCTATCAATCAAATTTGAGAGTGAAATCAGGAGTTTCACAGACGAAAAAGGACTAATGGAATTTATTACCACCAAATCATCAATGCAAGAAATGCTAAAGGGACTGCTGTAAAAATAAAAAATAGGAAGGGAAGAAGGAATACAGGCATAAAGAAAAAAAATGGCAACAAACAAGTGCCTATTAATAATAACTTTAAATGTAAATGGTTTACCTGCCTCAATCAAAAGACATAGGGTAGCTGAGTGGATAAGAAAACATGACCTACATCTCTACTGTCTACAGACCTACCTCAGAACAAAGGACTCACACAGACTGATGGTGAAGGGATAGCAAAAGGTTTTTCAGGTGAATGGAAAAGAAAAAAAAGCTGGGGTAGCAATACTTATATCTGGCAAATTAGATGTCAAAGCGAAGGCCATAACAAGAGAAAAGGAAGGCCACTTCATAATACTAAAGGGAGAAATTCAACAAGAAGTTATAACTCTAGTAAACATATATGCACCCAATACAGGAACACCCAAATATATATAAAAAAAAGAACTTCTGGAGGATATCAAGGGACAGATCAACAACAATACAGTCATAGTAGGGGACTTTAACACCCAACTAACACCACTGGATACAACCTCTAAACAAAAAATCAGCAAAGAAACATCAATCCTAATGACTCACTAGATCAGATGGAATTAATGGACGTCTTCAGAACATTTCACCCCAAAGCCACAGAATATATATTCTTCTCAAGCGCACAGGGGTCATTTTCAAAGATAGACCACATATTCGGACACAAGCAAAGTCTCTTCAAATTCAAGAAGATAGAAATCATATCAAGCATCTTCTCAGATCACAATGGCTTAAAATTAGAAATCAACTACAATAAAAACAATGAAA